GAGTCCACTACAAAGGAGGAGAAGGAGAAGAAGAAGGAGGAGGAGGAGGAGAAGAAGGAGAAGAGAAGAAAAGAAGAAAAGAAAAGAAAAGAGAAGAGAAGAGAAGAGAAGAAAAGAAGAAGAAAAGAAGAAGAGGAAGAGATTGGATTTATACCCCGCCCTTCACTACCCAAAGGTGTCTCAGAGCAGCTTACAAACTCCTTTCCCTTCCCCTCCCCACAGCAGACACCCTGTGAGGTTGGTGGGGCTGAGAGAGCTCTAACAACAACTGCTCTTTTTCAAGGGCTGCTCTTGTCAGAACTATGGCTTGCCCAAGATCACACCAGCAGCTGCAGGTGGAGGAGTGGGAAATCAAACTCAGTTCTCCCAGATTAGAGTCTGCGCACTTAACCACTACACCAAACTGGCTAAGAGTACTTGCACTTAACCACTAATTGCTTTTTACAATTTTCTCGTAATACATTCAATAAAAACAGTTCTGGTATATAAGGTATGGTACATTTTAATACTTTTTGTAACAATTAATGAATCCAAAATCAGTATTTTTTAACTCACATGAAAAAACAAACCAACATTTTTTTTTTACATTTCCAACAAGAAGAAATCATAACTAAAATACTTTTGAGAGGAGAAAATGATGGACACTTTGAGAATACATGGTCGAGGTTTTATAAATGGATGGAAGAATATAATGAATAAAGTATAGGGATCTACAACCGAAGCAGAAGAAAAAGTGAACTGTATTTTTAGTCATGAGTAAAGATTTATGTAAAAATATAAGGTGGGGAAATTAAAATGTAATTAGATAATGTATGAAGCAACTTAACATACAAAACAATATTGTAAGTGGAATCTCCAGTGTATGTATGTATGTCTTTTGTTTGTCTTTATAAAAAATAAAATTGTTTATTAAAAAAAAGAATGTGTATTTACTTAAATGATGCCGCCTTAGAGTGAATTTATTTATTTATTTATTTATATCCCCCCCCCCCCCGCCCGGAAGCAGGCTCCAGGTAGCTTACAAGGCCATTTGGCATCATAAAACATTAAAACATAAAAGCAACTTAAAATCATAAAACACATTTCAAAGGTGTTACACATACAAGATGGCAAAACTGTCTGGTCGGGCCACAGTGGGGTCACAACACATATACAGCTGGTGTCTGGCTGCCTGGCGCATTGTTCTTCAGTGTGGGCGCAGGTGTTAAAGCCGGCGGCCGAGGGTGGATTATAGGGCATAGGATTACCCGGTTGACATTGGGCGTTTTGATGTGGCATCTCATTTGAATGCTTGGTGGAAGAGCTCCATCTTGCAGGCCGTGCAGAATTGTGGTAAATCCCACAGGGCCCTGATGTCCTCCAGGAGCTCATTCCACCAAAGCGGCGCCACCACCGAGAAGACTCTGGCCCTAGCTGTAGCCAGCCCGACATCTTTAGGATTGGGATGAGCAAGAATATTTTGAGATCCTGACTATAGTACTCTCTGGGGAACACATGGGGAAAGGCGGTCCCTCAAGTATGCAGGTCCCTGGCCACATAGGGCTTCATAGGTAAGAACCAGCACCTTGAAGCGCATCTGGTATGCTATAGATAGCCAGTGCAGTGCTTTCAATGCAGGCTGAATGTGTTCCCTCAGAGGGAGACCCAATAACAGCCTGGCCGCCGCACTCTGCACCAGCTGTAGCTTCCGGATTTGGGACAAGGGCAGCCCCATGTAGAGAGCACTGCAGTAGTCTAGTCTCGAGGTGACCATCGTGTGGATCGCTGTTGCCAGATCAGCGCGTTCGAGGAAGGGAACCAACTGCCTAATCAGCCAGAGATGATAAAAGGCCGACTTGGCAGTGGCTGCTACCTGGGCCTCCATCGTTAAGGAGGCATCCAGGAGCACTCCTAACCTCCAGCGCTGGCACCGGCTGCGCCCCATCGAAGGTTGGGAGTGGGATTCCTACCACCGGGCCACCCCGGCTCAGGCACAGGACCTCCGTCTTCGTCGGATTCAGTTTCAGTCGACTCAGTCTAAGCCAACCAGACACGGCCTGTAACGCCCGGTCCAGATCTTCCGGTGTAGAATCAGACTGGCCGCCCAACAGCAGATAAGAGCTGGGTGTCATCCGCATATTGGTGACAACCCAGCCCATGCCTCCGGGCAACCTGGCCAAGGGGGCGCATCGGGGAGAGAACAGCCCCTCTTGGCACTCCACAAACCAGCGGGTGCCTTCGGGACAGCTGCTCCCCTAGCGCCACCCTCTGTCCCCGACCTTGTGGGAAAGAGGAGAGCCATTGCAAGGCAGACCCCTGGACCCCAACGTTGGATCAGAACAGTTCTCCATCAAGGTTGGAATCGTCTACTCAGAGTGGCAATTGGCTCTCCAGGGTGTCAGGTGGAGGTCTTTCACCTCACCTGATGCCTGGTCCTTTTAGCTGGCGATGCCGGGGTTTGAACCCGGGACCTTCTGCACGCTAAATGGATGTTCTGCCACTGAGCCAGGGTCCCTGGTCAAGGTCTTTCACATCACCTCCTGCCTGGTCGTTTTAGATGGAGATGCCGGGGATTGACCCTGGGACCCTCTGCATGCCAAGCAGAGGCTCTGCCACTGAGCCAGGGTCTCGGGTCAAGGACTTTCACGTCACCTCCT